GTTCACGAAGGAGGCAGAGTTCTTCAACTGCACGTGCGTGCAATGACAGAGAGAGTCGTGGCAAGGTCTGGGGGCACAAGGCTGCGCACTGGGGTGCATGAATTCCCAGTAAATTTATTTATTTGGGGTTCTTTTACCCCGCCCTTCTCACCCCGAAGGGGACCCAGGGCGGCTTACACAGTAAAGGCACGATTAGATGCCTGCATCACAACAATCATCACAAAATTACAATAAATTCACAGTTACCAACAGCTTCATGCATTATTCCAATAAAATCAGTAAAATCAATACAAACCTAATTCTTCCCTTACATTGTCAGTGTTGCTGTCTCATAGATCTACTTTTAATACCATTTCGTCAGTCCTGCTGGTCTTTAATTGCCTGGTTGCCCAAAGGCCTGGTCCCATAACCAAGTCTTCACCCTCCTCCTGAAGGAGAGGAGGGATGGTGATGCTCTGATTTGTGCGCCAGCTGCGCCCGTACCTTGGGAAGTCTGACTTGGCCACGGTAGTCCACACTCTGGTTACATCCCGTTTAGACTACTGCAACGCTCTCTACGTGGGGTTGCCTTTGAAGACAGCTCGGAAGCTCCAACTAGTCCAACGCTCGGCAGCCATGATTTTAACAGGAGCGGAGCGCAGGGAGCATACAACCCCCCTGTTGCGCCAACTCCACTGGCTACCGATCTGCTACCGGGCTGAATTCAAAGTGCTGGCGTTGGCCTTTAAAGCCCTAAACGGTTCCGGCCCAAGCTACCTATCTGACCGCATCTCTGCCTATGAACCCACCAGGACTTTGAGATCTTCCGGGGAGACCCTGCTCTCGATCCCGCCTGCTTCTCAAGCTCGGCTGGCGGGGACGAGAGATAGGGCCTTCTCGGTGGTGGCTCCTCGGCTGTGGAACGCCCTTCCTACGGACATTAGACTAGCACCATCTCTAATGGTATTCCGCAAAAAGGTGAAGACCTGGATGTTTGTGCAGGCGTTTGAGTAATTTAGTGCAATCTGGTAATGGAATATAGGAATGGAACAATGGACGACGAACCTGGACTACGCTTGGATGATGAGAAGATTGGGTACGGTTGTTTTTTGTAATAATTGTGCATTGTAACTGCTTATTGGTAATTTATGGATAATGTGTTAAGTCAATTGTTATATGTTGTATGGAACCACTGCTGTTTCTACTGTTTTTACTGTTTGTGAACCGCCGTGAGTCGCCTTCGGGCTTGAGATACAGCGGTATATAAGCAAAGTAAATAAAGGGATGGTGATGCTCTGATTTCCCCCGGGAGTGAGTTCCACAGGTGAGGGGCTACCACTGAGAAAGCCCTGCTCCTCGTCCCCACCAGCCTCACTTGTGACAGTGGTGGGGTCGAGAGCAGGGCCTCCCCAGATGATCTCAAACTCCGGGTGGGACGTAGAGGGAGATACGTTCGGACAGATACACTGGACCGGAACCGTACAGGGTTTTATAGGTCAAGAGTAAAGCCAAAGATGCGGGGTTGCCATTGTGTCCTGAGGCAGAGGGAGGTCCCAGTTGCAAAAGGCGCAGCCAATGATGGCAGGCAGCAGCCCCTCCCCTGAAGCCAGGCCCACCCACCCTCACCCTCTGCCTCCTGTCTGAAGAAGGGAGGGGAGGGGCTCCGGCAGGAGAGACAACCCCTTCTAAGATACACCTGAGTCATTTCACCTGGCCAACTGAGCCTCAGCCCTCCCTAAACACAGAAAGAAGCTGGGTGGTTGTAGTCACCTCTCTAATCACCTCTCAACAAAGGATTCCCCCAGGCACTAACAAGCCACACCTAAAAACTGCCAGGCCATCAAATGCTAATCAAGGTGGCCAATCAAAACATTCCCACCTAGCTCTCACAGACAAGAGTTCTTTCTCCCACTCTGGACATCATTCCACAGATATATAAACCCAATTTACCCAGTTTCCAACAAACATCACAACCTCTGAGGATGCCTGCCATGGATGTGGGCGAAACGTTAGGAGAGAATGCTACCAGAAGATAGCCATATAGCACAAAAAGCCTACAACAACCAAGTGATTCCAGCCATGAAAGCCTTCGACAATATAGAAAGCCTCCAAAATACACCTCAGAGGTGAGTAAATATCCAGGATTGCTTCGCAAGAGAACACCTTTTTTCCAACTCCCAGTTGACACCTCCTCTTGTCCCTCTATCCTTGCCCTCCCCTGGAGAATGACCAAGGCAGGACAAAAGGGAGCGTCCCCCTCTCATCTTTCTCCCTCCAACACATTCTCACACTAAAGGTCTGTGGCGATCCTTCAAGTTCCTGATGCTGCTACACTTCCTTGGCTTCCATAAAGCACCCAGGTGTCCTGCACATCCCGCCAACGCCTCTGCCATCATGCAAACCAGCTGCAGCCATGCTTTCATAGAATCCTAGAATCCTAGAGTTGGAAGAGACCTCCTGGGCCATCATCCAGTCCAACCCCATTCTGCCAAGAAGCAGGAATATGGCATTCAAATCACGCCTGGCAGATGGCCATCCAGCCTCTGTTTAAAAGCCTCCAAAGAAGGAGCCTCCACCACACTCCCTCCGGGGCAGAGAGTTCCACTGCTGAACGGCTCTCACAGTCAGGAAGTTCTTCCTCGTGTTCAGTTGGAATCTCCTCTCTTGTAGTTTGAAGCCACTGTTCCATTGCGTCCTAGTCTCCAAGGAAGCAGAAAGCAAGCTTGCTCCCTCCTCCCTGTGGCTTCCTCTCACATGCTTATACATGGCCCTCATCATGTCTCCTCTCATCCTTGTCTTCTTCAGGCAAAACATGCCCAGCTCCTTAAGCCACTCCTCATAGGGCTTGTTCTCCAGACCCTTCATCATTTGAGTCGCCTTTCTCTGGACATATTCCAGCTTGTCAATATCTCTCTTGAATTGTGGTGCCCAGAATTGGACACAATATTCCAGGTAAAGTGGTCTAACCAAAGCGGAATAGAGCATGGGGAGCAGGACTTCCTTAGATCTGGACACTATGCTCCTCTTGATGCAGGCCAACATCCCATTGGCTTTTTTGCCGCCACATCACATTGTTGGCGGCAACAATTCCACTGCCTGGGCACAAGCCAGGAATGGCTCCATCAGGGAGAGGGATGCTCACATTCACCTGGGTTTCAGGTGTGTGCTATGTGAAGGGGTTCCTATCAAGTGCCCAGTGTCTAAGGCCTCTGGCCAGCCAGGTGCCCGCCCTCCAAGGGACCCTTCCTCACCCCCAGGGCCAGCAAAGCAGAGGATGAATATACCCAATGAGGATGGTGCTGTGGATGGGGGGGGGGGGGGTCAAGCCACAGTTGGGTCTTCCATCTCACCCCCAAAACACAGGCAATCAAAGCAGAAACTTGAATGCAGCTCCTTTGAGGGAAGTGAGGGCACTTTGCTTTGGGAATCCAATCCAAAGGAGCTGCAGAATGAGCAGTCCCCAAAGGTCCTCTTCACCCCACACAATGGGTGGAGCTTCAGAATCCTGGCATCTCTAACTTGACAAGATTATTATTATTATTATTATTATTATTATTATTATTATTATTATTTACTATATTTCTATACCGCCCACCTGACATCCGCCGGGAAGTAGCAGCCAATAGTGAAAGGACCAAGGCAGAGACATCTCCAGCTCATCCCGTTTGGGTATCAGCCAGCACGTCAACGACTTAAATCTAGAAATAGTTTTCTTAGATCTACAGAGACATTTGCTGGAACATCCCAGCAAGCAAGAGTCCAAAAGTGGCAGGCCCAAACCCAGAACCTCAATCCATGGCTGATACCCAATGAGAGACTCCCCCCTGGGCACACAGAAGACGGGGCGACTTGGAAGGCGCTGAACAGACTGTGCTCTGGCACCACGAGATGCAGAGCCAACGTCAAGAAATGGGGCCACAAAGTGGAGTCCAGGACATGCGAGTGCGGAAAAGAGCCAACCACTGACCACCTGCTGCAATGCAACCTGAGCCCTGCCACATGCACAATGGAGGACCTCCTTTTGGCAACACCAGAGTCACTCAAGTGGCCAGATACTGGTCAAAGGACATTTAATCAACTACCAAACTTGCAAATTTTGTATTTTGTCTATTTCTTTGTTTTGTTCTGTTAGAAATGTAATACAATTGACTGTTGCCCTGACACAACAAATAAATACCGCCCTTCTCAGCCTGAGGGCAACTCAGGGCGGTTCACAGAACCGGCACAATTCGATGCCACAATAAAATAAACAATTAAAAGCATATAAACATCACAAAATTCCATAAACAATATTGCAATTGTCAGCCATTCCGAGGTCAAATAATTATTTACTACATTGCATTTGAGAAAGCCTGCTCACAAAACCAGGTTTTGACTTTTTTTCAGAATGGGTTCTTGTAGGTTTTTTCGGGCTCTATAGCCATGGTCTCGAGGCATTCACTCCTGACATTTCGCCTGCATCTATGGCAAGCATTCTCAGTGAGGATGCTTGCCATAGATGCAGGCGAAATGTCAGGAGAGAATGCCTCGAGACCATGGCCATACAGCCCAAAAAAACCTACAACAACCCAGTGATTCCGGCCATGAAAGCCTTCGACAATACATTTTTTTGGAATGTTAGGAGAGTGGGAGCCGATCTAATATCTCTGGGGAGGGCGTTCCATAGCCAAGGGGCAACCACTAAAAAGGCCCTATCTCTCGCCCCCCTGTGAAGAAGGCGGGACAGAGAGCAGGGCCCCTCCAGAAGATCTTAAATTCCTAGATGGTTCATAAGGAGAGATACGCTCGGACAGATAAGCAGGGCTAGAACCTGTCAAACTACATGTCAAACTACAAATCCCAGGATGGTGCCCTTTTGGCAGCTAAAAGTGGGGTGACTGTGCAGGAGGAAATGGACCCAATCCACACACTTCTGGGCTTCCGCCTTGGACAAACTGTCCCAAAAGCACCCACATGAGGCCTGGAGAAATGTGCATTCCCACCACTCTCATGCCCACAAGCATGTGCCCGCCGCCACTGACCTGGGTGACCTTCTCGGTGACGTTGTGAGTGCGTTCCTTTAGTTTGCTGGAGGCGATGATCTCCTTCTCGTTGGAGGGAGAGGTCAGGAAGGCCTCAGCCTTGAAGTCCACGAAGTTGAGGGTGATCTGGGGGATCTTGCTGATGGCGCGGTAGCGCATGAGGTCCGAGTCGGAGGTGGAGTTGAGCAGGTGGCTGCGGGCGTTGTTCATGGCACCTGCGGGAGACGCAGAGGGGAAGGCGGTCAGGGGTCTGCAAGCCTAGAACACCCACAGCAGAGGATGAGGCGCCTCATCCCACTTGTGGCCACACTCTCATAGGTTTCTGGTCACCGAAGCCTTCCTCTGAGGCTGAGAGAGTGACTCCAGGGCACACAGTGGGCTTCCATGGACAAGCAGGGATTCATCTGCAAGTGCAATTGCCAATTCTGTTTTTCATTAAAGTCAGGAGCAGGGGAGTGCGGAATGATTTAATCCGATGAGCAATTGTTGGGTGCCTTTGTAATAAGAAATTTAATGTGTAGATTTGATAAATGTGGATTTAATATGATGTGTGGGAATGAATGGAAGGACGTAATAATTTGGGAAGCACCAGTAAAATATTAAGGCCTGCAATGACTAACAACCTGCTTGCTGGACTGTAATTAAAAGTTGCTAATGAGAACTGAAAAGTAATCTTTGATAAGGACTGTGATAACGGTTTACAACATTCCTTATGTTAAGAAGGAAGTCAACACAAGGCTAACACCAATCAAGAAGATTCAACATCTGGCCAGGAAACTGAGTTGGAGTCAACATATTCCAGGATGGAAAACGTCTATCATTAATTTACAACTTTGGGATGACATCAGAAGAATATTTCTATAAAGACTCAATCTAATAATGCTCAAATTGTGGCAGACCTGAGGAGTCTGGTTCACCAGCATTGAAGTGATGGTTCTGCCTGACCACTGTCTTCCAAAGCAGTTGCTCTACTCCGAGTTCAAGAATGGAAAACGGAATGTTGGTGGGCAGGAAAAGAGATTTAAATATGGGCTCAAAGCCAACCTTAAAAACTCTGGCATAGACACCAAGAGAGATCTGGGAAGCCCTGGTCCTTAAGCGCTCCAGCTGGAGGTCAGCTGTGACCAGCAGTGCTGCTGAATTTGCACAGGCATGAATGGAGGGCAAAAGAGAAACGCGCCAAGAGGAAGGCACATCAAGCCAACCCCGACCAGGACCACCTTCCACCTGGAAACCGATGCCCTCACTGCGGGAGAAGATGCAGGTCAAGAATAGGGCTCCACAGCCACCTACGGACCCACAAGAATGCTGATCCTGGAAGACTATCTTACTCGGCCAACGAGAGATCGCCTAAGTAAGTAAGTAAGGGGGTTGGACTGGATGGCCTTTGGGGATCCCCTTCCAATTCTAGGATTCTATGATACATACATACATACATAGACAGACAGATATTGTCTTCCTGTATGGCCGAAGGGGGCTGGACCAGATGGCCTTTGGGGGGTCCCCTTCCAACACTTTCAACACTATCATCCTATGCTTGATAGATAGATTTGGGATGACATCAGCAGAATATTCCTATAAAAGACTCAATCTAATAATGCTCAAAGTGTGGCAGACCTGAGGAGTCTGGTTCAACCGCCATGCTCTGCTTCATGGGAAGGACAGAGGCGGTGTATTTGGAGAGTGGCGGATTTGCAAGGGAGCGGTCTGGTCACTTTGGGGCTTCTTTCTCAAGAGAAGAGGAAGAAGTGCACTTTTGGAGTCTTTGATTGTGTGCAGGGAGTCAGGTTCTGCTGTACTAAAGGCAGGGATCTGGTCCTTGGCATTGCGCTTAGGGAAAGGATGCATTTTGAAGTTTTGAAGTTATGGAAGTTTTGAAACTGTGCGTTTGGCAGGCTGCAGGAAAGGAGGGTCTGGCCTAACAGGTGCTTCTCCAAGGAGGGAGAAAAGGATATAGTAATATTTGGATGCATGAGAATGAATGCATGTACATGTGTGTGAATGCTGAGTGAAAATGTAATGCTCCTTTGTTTGTTTGCTAGCCATGTAATTGTGAATCCAGCGTAGTTGCATAGAATCTGTATGTCTGTATGTCTGAATGTTTTTCTGCAATCTGATCTGCAATAAAAAGAACCTCTGCTTGAAAGTTATTGAAAAGTGATTCATGCACCTTCAAGTTCTATCTGATTTACCCAACCCTCAGGTGACTCCAGCACAAGTTTTTCCCGGGTTGAGAATGTAGGACTCATGCCAAGTGACTCATTGGGCTTCCATGGCTGAGCAGGGATTCCAACTCTAGTCTCCAGAGTCCTAGCCCAACGCCAACTCAAGTAGCCCAACGGGGTTTATAGATGTGTGTATCTGTGGGCGGGGAAGACTGTTGGGGATTTACTGTGGGCTTTGTAGGCGGCCAGGCTGAGTAAACATGTGCTCATCCTCTAGATGTCTAAGGCCCCAAAGCACTGCCACGGACGGAGCTGTACGCAAAACCCTCGGCCTTGATGGTATCCCTTATGAGGCCTACAAAGTCTATGGGCCAGAGGCAGCCCTCACCTTTCACAGACCCTAATACTGGCACAGCAACCCACCACCTGGACCTGAGCCATGCAAGTGGGTGCTCCTGTCCAGCTCTCCATGGCTGGAAGCCCCACTGAAAGTGCCCGTTCCCCCCAAGAAGGCATGATTCCATAGGGTCAGGCTTTAGTACAGCTGGCTTACCACCAGCAGCAATAGATCATACCAAACAAAAGGTTGGCAATTCGAAGCCCGGGTTGGGATGAGCACCCGACCTTCAGCCCAGCTTACTGTTGGGACTCAGCCTGTGTGTGACCCTGTGTGTGAACTTGAGCCGGAATCTCCGATTGTGTTGCCTATTGTTGATAATATTGATGTAAACGTTGATGGGCCCAGTTTGGATAGTGAGGCTGAAGTGATCAATGAGGACAAGGCTCAAGATGGAGACACTTTGGGCAGTAAAAATCCTACAGGCTTTGATGTAGAGGCTTCAAGGGAAAAGCCAAGTTCTCATGAGAAAGTTCCTGTCAGACCGAGAGAAGAAAATTTACTCCCTTTTCCTCCTGGCCCGAGCTTGCAAGACAACTTGACACCTGGTTGGGTCAATGATAACAGTCGCAGTTTGGAGATAAGCCAGAACCGCAGGGAGACTCAATGTTTACGTAGGTCTGAGAGAATCCGACAACTGAAACCAAAGATTAGAGTTAGCCAGAATCAGTTTCTGGGATTTAAGAGTGGCCGCGAGGGGGATTTCCTCAGACCAAGCATCGTTTACTTTCAAGTACAAAGCTCCAGGATTTTCAGGGACTTCAATCTATTTTATATTCATCATTAAATAAAAAGGGATTGTATTTTTCCTAAACCAAAGTGTGGTGTATTAATGACAAAAGGGCCCTGTTTCCTGCACTGGAGTGCAACATTTACTGTCCACCTAAGCTGTTCGAAATCAGTTGTGAGTAGAGAAATTAGGCACTGCTTAAGTGGGTAGATATTTTATGGCACCATAAAGGAAATACTAGAAAAATGCTGGTGACCAAAGGAAGGAGGATATCTGTGATCAAGGGCTCTTCATCATAGAGGATGGAGTGATAGCACCTCCCTGTGGCTGGAATTGAGCACAACCTCCAGGACGTTGAAGTTGGGAAACATGCCGAGATAATACCTCTATCTGTTGTCTGTCCTGTCTGCTTAATGGCATTGAATGTTTGCGGTGTATGGCTCTTCGTCATAGAGGATGGAGCAACAGCACCCCCCTGTGGCCGGAATTGAGCACAACCTCCAGGACGTCGAAGTTGGGGAAAAATGCCAAATTAATACCTCTATCTGTTATCTGTCCTGTCTGTTTAACGGCATTGAATGTTTGCCATGTATGTGTTCTGTGATCTGCCCTGAGTCCCCTTCAGGGTGAGAAAGAAGGGCGGAATGTAAATGCTGTAGTTAAATAAATAAATAATAAACCATGCCTTCTTGTGCTCAGAAACAGTCAATGGCACCAAGGTCAAGAGCAGACCTTGAGGGTCTCGCATCCCCAGAAACAGAGTATGAGGGGACCCCAAAGGCCATCTAGTCCACCCCTTTGACGACAAGGATGACGTTGCGCTGAGTCCACCTCAAAGGGCCATCCTGCAAGTCGGTCCAACCAACCCCCTCCCTCCCCGTCGACTGACCTGTGCTGGCGTGGCGGCTGTGCCCGCGGCCCTTCTCTCCATCGCCCTTCATGGCCTCGATGTCGTCCACAGAGGAGGCTCGGCGCACGCTGTAGAAGCTCTCGCGCGATCGGCTGCGCACCAGGCTGCAGTTGGAGAAAGAAGCCTCCAGGCTGAGGCGAGCCTTCTCCGTGCGGGGTGAGGAATGGGTCACGGGGGGCTCTAGCCGACCGCCCCCACCTCCACCTCCGCCGCCTCCTCCATCGCTGCCCTCCTCCGCTTCATGGTCTTCCTCCTCCTCCTCTTCCTCCTCCTCCTCCTCTTCCTGGGGCTCCATTAGGGCCTGCTGGTCCTCGGGGCCCCCGCAGCCCAGGCAGTGGTTGTCCAGGGAGGCCGTGACCTCGTCCAGCGCCACCGTCTCGCTGCTTCGCTTGGAGAAGTCCGCCACCAGCACTGAGGCCCCCTCCGGGTCCGGGTCCTGCGGCAGAGACTGCTTGCTCCCCGCCAAGGCCAGCAGCGCAGGCAGCTTCAGGCGGAAGGACTTCCCACGGCCTGGGGGGGGGGGGGGAACGGTCAAGGTACAGTTAAGGCAGGGCAGCCATGTGGCCATTCTGACCTTCTAGAAGCCTACCTGGAATACAACCCAGTGGTCATCCTTTGACCAGTAGCCCACCTGGAAGACAACCCAGTGGTCATCCTTTGACCAGTAGCCCACCTGGAAGACAACCCAGTGGTCATCCTTTGACCAGTAGCCCACCTGGAAGACAACCCAGTGGTCTTCCTTTGACCAGTAGCCCACCTGGAAGACAACCCAGTGGTCATCCTTTGACCAGTAGCCCACCTGGAAGACAACCCAGTGGTCATCCTTTGACCAGTAGCCCACCTGGAAGACAACCCAGTGGTCATCCTTTGACCAGTAGCCCACCTGGAAGACAACCCAGTGGTCTTCCTTTGACCAGTAGCCCACCTGGAAGACAACCCAGTGGTCATCCTTTGACCAGTAGCCCACCTGGAAGACAACCCAGTGGTCATCCTTTGACCAGTAGCCCACCTGGAAGACAACCCAGTGGTCATCCTTTGACCAGTAGCCCACCTGGAAGACAACCCAGTGGTCATCCTTTGACCAGTAGCCCACCTGGAAGACAACCCAGTGGTCATCCTTTGACCAGTAGCCCACCTGGAAGACAACCCAGTGGTCATCCTTTGACCAGTAGCCCACCTGGAAGACAACCCAGTGGTCATCCTTTGACCAGTAGCCCACCTGGAAGACAACCCAGTGGTCATCCTTTGACCAGTAGCCCACCTGGAAGACAACCCAGTGGTCTTCCTTTGACCAGTAGCCCACCTGGAAGACAACCCAGTGGTCATCCTTTGACCAGTAGCCCACCTGGAAGACAACCCAGTGGTCATCCTTTGACCAGTAGCCCACCTGGAAGACAACCCAGTGGTCATCCTTTGACCAGTAGCCCACCTGGAAGACAACCCAGTGGTCATCCTTTGACCAGTAGCCCACCTGGAAGACAACCCAGTGGTCATCCTTTGACCAGTAGCCCACCTGGAAGACAACCCAGTGGTCATCCTTTGACCAGTAGCCCACCTGGAAGACAACCCAGTGGTCATCCTTTGACCAGTAGCCCACCTGGAAGACAACCCAGTGGTCTTCCTTTGACCAGTAGCCCACCTGGAAGACAACCCAGTGGTCATCCTTTGACCAGTAGCCCACCTGGAAGACAACCCAGTGGTCATCCTTTGACCAGTAGCCCACCTGGAAGACAACCCAGTGGTCATCCTTTGACCAGTAGCCCACCTGGAAGACAACCCAGTGGTCTTCCTTTGACCAGTAGCCCACCTGGAAGACAACCCAGTGGTCATCCTTTGACCAGTAGCCCACCTGGAAGACAACCCAGTGGTCATCCTTTGACCAGTAGCCCACCTGGAAGACAACCCAGTGGTCATCCTTTGACCAGTAGCCCACCTGGAAGACAACCCAGTGGTCATCCTTTGACCAGTAGCCCACCTGGAAGACAACCCAGTGGTCATCCTTTGACCAGTAGCCCACCTGGAAGACAACCCAGTGGTCATCCTTTGACCAGTAGCCCACCTGGAAGACAACCCAGTGGTCTTCCTTTGACCAGTAGCCCACCTGGAAGACAACCCAGTGCTGGCCTCTAAGTCACCCTTTGTCCCCTGTGAGCCTCTCAGGTATGCTGCTCCGCTGTCCCAGGTGCGTCTACACTGCGGAATGAATGCAGTTTGACACCCCTACAACTGCCGTGGATCAATCCATTGCAATCCTTTTTTATTATTTCCAAAGTACACACATTATATCATAACTACTGGTAAACAGTGGATTATATCTATATAAATAAAAATGTAATTAGTTTGTGGGATTAACAGAACTCAAAAACCACTGGACAAATTGACACCAAATTTGGACACAAGAGACCAATCCGGCCAACAAGTGACCATCACTCATAAAAACACAGAAAAACACAGCAGAAGAGACTTCAAAAGCCCCCAAATGCCAAAAAATACATTACAACACATGCGCAAAACCACACGCACACACACATATACACACACACAAACACACACATATATACATATACACAAATAAACACACATATATACTCACAAAATACATATACAAAGAAAGGAGGAAGGAAGGAAGGAAGGAAGGAAGGAGAAGGAAGGAAGGAAGGAAGGAAGGGGAGAAAGAGGGAAGAAAAGGAGGAAGAGGAGGAAAAGGAAAGAGAAGGAAGGAAGGAAAGAAGGAAAGAAAAGTGAAAGAAGGAAGGAAGGAAAGAGAGATGGAAGGAAGGAGAGAAGGAGGGAGAGAAAGAGGGAAAGAAGAAGGGAAGGAGAGAAGGAAGAAAAGAAAGAAAGATAGAGAACAAAGGAAGGAAAGAAGGAAATAGAAAAGTGAAAGAAGGAAGGAAAGAGAGATGGAAGGAAGGAGAGAAGGAGGGGGAGAAAGAGGGAAAGAAGAAGGGAAGGAGAGAAGGAAGAAAAGAAAGAAAGATAGAGAACAAAGGAAGGAAAGAAGGAAATAGAAAAGTGAAAGAAGGAAGGAAAGAGAGATGGAAGGAAGGAGAGAAGGAGGGAGAGAAAGAGGGAAAGAAGAAGGGAAGGAGAGAAGGAAGAAAAGAAAGAAAGATAGAGAACAAAGGAAGGAAAGAAGGAAATAGAAAAGTGAAAGAAGGAAGGAAAGAGAGATGGAAGGAAGGAGAGAAGGAGGGGGAGAAAGAGGGAAAGAAGAAGGGAAGGAGAGAAGGAAGAAAAGAAAGAAAGATAGAGAACAAAGGAAGGAAAGAAGGAAATAGAAAAGTGAAAGAAGGAAGGAAAGAGAGATGGAAGGAAGGAGAGAAGGAGGGGGAGAAAGAGGGAAAGAAGAAGGGAAGGAGAGAAGGAAGGAAAGAAAGAAATGTAGAGAAGGAAGGAAGGACAGAAGGAAATAAAATAGTGAAAGAAGGAAGGAAAGAGAAGAAGAAGGAGGGAGAAGGAAGAAAAGAGGAAAGAGGGAGGCAAGGAAGGAAGGAAAGAGACAAGGAACCAAAGAGCAAAGGAAGGGAGGAAAGAAACAGGTAGAGAAGGAAGGAAGAAGAAGGGAAAGAGGGTGGGAAGGTTGGCTACAGCAATGCATGGCGGGAACAACTAGTAATATTATAAAACTATAATATAATATACTAATAATATAATTATAATATTGCAATAATACAATATAATGCTAATAATATGATATTATAATTATATATTTATATTACATGTAATACTACTAATAATATGACAATATAATGGTATAGTACAATATAGTAATATTTAATACTGATATTGTACAATGCTAATAATATAATATATTGTGTGTGTGTGTGTGTATATATATATATATAGATAGAATCTATCTATCTATCTATCTATCTATCTATCTATCTATCTATCTATCTATCTGTCTTGTAAGCCGCTCTGAGTACCCTTCGGTGTGAGAAGGGCGGCATAGAAATGTCATAAATACATAAATAATAAATGAATAAAATTTAATATAAAAACAAATAAATAAATTTAATGTTCATGTATGTGTACAGCCTATTTATGTCCCACCACTGAATGTTTGCCGTTTATACGTTGTGCTTTGCCCTGAATATTTTGCCCTATCAAAGCGCTTAACTAGCAGTGTTTGTGTGTATAGGAAAGGTGTGTGTGTGTGTGTGTGTGTGTGTGTGTATATATATATATATATATATATATATATATATATATATATATATGCCCCCAGTGGCGCAGTGGGTTAAACCGCTGAGCCGCTGAACTTATTGATCAAAAGGTTGCAGGTTCAAATCTTGGGAGTGGCATGAGCTTCTGCTGTCAGCCCCAGCTTCTGCCAACCTAGCAGTGTGAGTAGATTAATGGGTACCCCTCCGGCAGGAAGGTAATGGCACTCCATGCAGTCATACTAGCCACATGACCTTGGGGGTGTCTATGGACAATGCTGGCTCTTCCGCTTAGAAATGGAGATGAGCACCAGAGTCCCAGAGTTGGACATGACTGGACTTATTGTTAGGGGAAAACCTTGACCTTTACCTAGGAATGGTAAAGGCTTCCTCTGTCATGCAGTCCAGTTGTGTCCAACTCTGGGACTCTGGTGCTCATCTCCATTTCTAAGACAAAGAGCTGGCATTGTCCATAGATGCCTCCAAGGTCATGTGGCCACCGGCATGACTCATAGAGTGCCATTACTTTCCCACTTTCCCACCAGAGCAGTACCTATTTATCTACTCACATTTGCATGTTTTTAAACTGCTAGGTTGGCAGAAGCTGGGGCTAACAGCAGGAGCTCACCCTGCTCTCCCTGGATTCAAACCACCAACCTTTTGGTCAGCAAGTTCAGCAGCTCAGCGGTTTAACCCGCTGTGCCACCAGGGGGCCAGATATAGATATAGATGTGTGTGTGCATGTGTATATATATCACATCATATACATAGATACATACATACATACATGCATACATACGTACATATAGGGACCCCTGGTGGCGCAGTGAGTTAAATCGCTGAGCTGCTGAACTTGCTGACACACACATATAATTTAAATAAAGGGAGTTGTAGTTTTACAATGCCTTTAGCCCTCTCTGCCAAAGAGAGGGACCTCACCAAACTACAGCTCTCACAATTCTACAGCATGGAGCCATAGCAGTTAAAATGGTGTCAAACTGCATTCATTCTGCAGTGCAGATGCACCTCAAGAATTGCTTCTCCCAAGACCTGCAGACCAGTCACTCTTTTTTGTCACCCCCCTCTCAATTCCCTCCAGATGACCAGTGGTGGGCCCACAATGCACCCATGGCGCATGCCCCCGTCCCTTTCTTTCTTGGGTCCTTTCCTACCTGTGGGGAGCCAGGCGGCCGGAGAGACCCAGTGGTTGGTGTTCTTGACCGGACTGGTCAGCAGGTCCCGGTCCATCATCACCTCGAAGTTGAGGATGAACATGATGACGGCCCCATCCTCGTTCTTCACCGGGACCACGTCCACCAGGCACAGGAAGCAGCTGCCTGGAGCGGGAAAAAGGGGAAGAAGAAGCGGGAACGTCAACATAAGCATTGGCACAGGAAAGGGAGTGTACATACATCAGGAATGGGCAAACTTGGACCCTCCCTCCAGGTGTTTTGGACTCCAACTCCCACCATTCCTAACAGCCTCAGGCCCCTTCTTTTTCCCCCTCAGCCATTCCTTAAGCAGCTGGGGGAAAAAGAAGGGGCCTGAGGCTGTTAGGAATGGTGGAAGTTGGAGTCCAAAACATCTGGAGAGCTGAAGTTTATGCCTGGTATAAGTAAACATCATCATCATCATCATCATCTCCAATTCCAGGTCATAGAATCCAAGAATCAAAGAGTTGGAAGAGACCTCATGGGCCATCCAGTCCAACCCCATTCTGCCAAGAAGCAGGAATATTGCATTCAAATCACCCCTGACAGATGGCCATCCAGCCCCTGTTTAAAAGCTTCCAAAGAAGGAGCCTCCACCACACTCCCTCGGGGCAGAGAGTTCCACTGCTGAACGGCTCTCACAGTCAGGACGTTCTTCCTCATGTTCAGGTGGAATCTCCTCTCTTGTACCTTGAAGCCATTGCTCCATTGCGTCCTAGTCTCCAGGGAAGCAGAAAGGAAGCTTGCTCCCTCCTCCTCCTCCCTGTGGCTTCCTCTCACATATTGATACATGGCGCTCCTCATGTCTCCTCTCAGCCTTCTCTTCTTCAGGCTAAACATGCCCAGGTGTTTGGACTTATAGAATCCTAGAGATGGAAGACACATCGTGGACCACCCAGTACAACCCCATTCTGTCAAAAAGCAAGAAAGCCACATTCAAAGCACCCCCAACAGATGGCCATCCAGCCTCTGTTTAAAAGCCTCCGCCACACTCCAGAGCAGAGAGTTCCACTGCTGAACAGCTCCCTTTCAAAGTGAGGAAGTTCTTCCTAAAGCACCGGGACTGTGGCACAGCTGACTGGGAATCAGCTGCATTAAGATCACTAGTGACAGAAAGGTCATGAGTTCGAAGCCTGGGTCGGAGTGAGCTTCCGATTGTGTACCTTGCTGTCGACCTTTGCAGCCCGAAATAAGTTACATCTGTCAAGTAGGAAATTTAGGTACCGCTTATGCAGAGAGGCTAATTTAACTAATTTATGACGCCATAAAAATCTCCAGCAATCATGCAAAAAGAATGAGGAAGTACTCCATCATTGTCACTAATGGATGGGTGAAGCAACCCCTGGTGACCAGAATACCCTAATGAAATCTGCAACGTTAAATAGCCTCTGTGTGTCTGTCTATACATGTTGTGTGTCTATGGCATTGGATGTTTGCCATGTATATGTGCATTGTGATCCACCCAGAGTCTCCTGCGGAGTGAGAAGGGCGGAATATAAATACTGTAAATAGTAAATAAATAATAATAATTCAGGTGGAATCTCCTTTCTTGTAGTTTGAAGCCACGGCTCCATTGCGTCCTAGTCTCCAGGGCAGGAGATAACAAGCTTGCTCCCTCCTCCTCCCTGTGTCTTCCCCTCACATATTTATACATCACCCTCATCATGTCTCCGCTCAGCCTTATCTTCTTCAGCCGCTCCTCATAGGGCTTGTTCTCCAGACCCTTGATCATTTTAGTCGCCCTCCTCTGGACACTTTCCAGCTTGCCAATACCTCTCTTCAACTGTGGTGCCCAGAACTGGACACCATATTCCAGGTGTGGTCCACCTCACCGTAGATTTGCCTAGCCCATATTGGACTCGTTTCCTTGCCAGAAGGTCATGGGTGGGAGTGGGGCTGGCTGGTGCTAAGGTGGCGTGTGCGTGTGTGTTGCATCCACTTAGGCAGCCCACACTCTCTCGGCCTCATTCCATTCCACTGACAACAAAGGTAGAAGTGACCGATGTGTGTTGTTCTGTTTTGCACTGAGATCATGTTGATGTGCATCTCTGGATGTTCAGCACCATCAGTGCATGCCCCCCCCTTACTCCCCTCTTGTGCACGGTGCGGAGGGGGCATGGTGCCAGAATCAGGAAATGAGCCAAGAGATGGGGGGGGGGGGGGGCGGATTGAGGCAGAACAACCCATAATCCGCCCAGAGCATTTCTGACAGCTGCGGCGCTAATCCGGCACAACTGGAGCCAGAGGAGGATTATCTCACACTCATCTGGGGAGGAAGACCACCCCGCCCCCCTCCCTTAAGTCCAAGAGACGACACCAGAGGGTCATCCGCTCCCGCTCCCATCAATGGGAGACCCGAACGGAGCCAAAGGGGTGGAGAGAAGGGTCTTTCCTGGGGGACAGGCCAATGCAGAGGCCTTTCCATGGGATGTGGGGGAGACTTTGCTGCCAGGAGGTCAAGCGCCAAACCCCATTCCAGCCTGACCTCATTTGCAAGAGAAGCCAAAGGGATTTGGGGCCTTCCTCCTCCTCCTCCTCCTCCTCCTCCTCCTCTTCTGAGAGCAATCTTTCCTACAGATGCTCAGGCCCCAAAGATAGCCCCTTGACCCCTCCTCCCTTGGACATTGCTCTTTGCAAAGCCTTGGAATGGACACAGGAGGCAGCAGTTGCATCAGGGATGAGGGAAGTGCTTCTGAAAGCACTTTGCACATGCTCAGGAGCCTTCTTGGCACAAAGAAAGAGCTCTGGAGCAAAGCAGTTCCATCCCATTTTCCCAGCCTCAGACCCCCCCCCCCCACCACCACCACCACGCAGCAGGAACAAGGGAGGTGCTTCTGAAAGCCCTTTGCACATGCTCGGGAGCCTTCTTGGCACAAAGAAAGAGCTCTGGAGCAAAGCAGTTCCATCCCCATTTTACCAGCCTCAGACCCCCCCCCCCCACCACCACCACGCAGCAGGAACAAGGGAGGTGCTTCTGAAAGCCCTTTGCACATGCTCGGGAGCCTTCTTGGCACAAAGAAAGAGCTCTGGAGCAAGGCGGCGCTCTCCCCCTCCCCATTTTCCCAGCCTCAGACCCTACCCCACCCTAAATACACTTCCACACACTTACATCCACTGCGAGCCTGCCAGGACAAAGCACTCTGCACATGCTCAGGAGCCTTCTTGGCACAAAGAAAGAGCTCTGAAGCAAGGCAGTGCCCTCCCCCTACCCATTTTCCCAGCCTCAGACCCCCCACCCGAAATACACCTCCACACAATTACATCCACTGCAAAGCAGGACAAAGCACTCTGCACATGATCAGGAGGCTTCTTGGCACAAAGGAAGAGTCCTGGAGCAAGGCAGTGCCCTCCCCCTCCCCATTTTCCCAGCCTGAGACCCCCACCCCCACCCCAAATACACCTCCACACACTCCACTGCAAACCTGCCAGGACAAAGCACTCTGCACATGCTCAAAGAAAGAGCTCTGGAGCAAGGCAGTGCCCTCCCGCTCCCCATTTTCCCACCCTCAGACCCCCTACTCTAAATACACCTCCACACACAATTATGTCCACTGCAAAGCAGGACAAAGCACTCTGCACATGCTCAGGAGCCTACTTGGCACAAATAAAGAGCTCTGGAGCAAGGTAGTGCTCTCCCCCGCCCCATTTTCCCAGCCTCAGACCACCCCCCACCTTAAATACAACTCCATACACTTATTTATTTATTTATTTATTTATTTATTTATTTATTTATGTCCACTGCAAACACGTCCACTGCAAGCCTGCCAGGACAAAGCACTCTGCACATGCTCAAAGAAAGAGCTCTGGAGCAAAGCAGTGCCCTCCGCCTCCCCATTTTCCCTGCCTCAGACCCCCACCCCCACCCCAAATACACCTCAACACACTTACGTCCACTCCAAGCCTGCCAGGACAAAGCACTCTGCACATGCTCAAGAGCCTACTTGGCACAAAGAACGAGCTCTGTATCAAGGCAGTGCCCCCCCTCCCCATTTTCCCAGCCTCAGAACCCCCACCCCAAATACACCACACACTTACGTTCACTGCAAAGCAGGACAAAGCACTCTGCACATGCTCAGGAGCCACAAAGAAAGAGCTCTGGAGCAATGCAGTGCCATCCCACCCCTCATTTTCCAACTCCAGACCCCCCTCCCACCCCCACCCCAAATGCACCTCCACACACTCACGTCCATCTTGAGCGCTCATCTCCTTATTTGAAGGCGAACACGAGAATCCATCAGAGGTATGTTTGGTATGCAGATAGCAAGGATGGAGATGGTCAAAGCAGGGATGGAAACGCGAGAGGCCACAGGATGGGTCGACACCAACTTTGGTCCTCCCTCCAGGTGTTTTGGACTCAACTCCCAATTCCTAACAGCTCAGGCCCGATCATGCCATCACCACTGAAGCGGCTGAGGGGGGAAAGGAAAGGGCCTGAGGCTGTTAGGAATGCTGGGAGTTGGAGTCCAAAACACCTGGAGGGCCCAAGTTTGCCTCAAGCCTGGTCTGCACTGGGACTGGGGCCCTGGGGTCACTCACCTCCAGGTCAAGGCCGGACACAGGGCTCTCCTTGGTCCAGAGGGAGGGAAGGAGGTGGACGTTGGGGATGGATGGATGGATGGATGGATGGATGGATGGATGGATGGATGGAGAGCCAGCAGCGGCACCCAAGGAGGAGAGAAGCCTGGAAGGAGGCTGCTGGGGATCCGGGGAGGGCGAGGAAGGCTGGGATTTCATGCCTAAATATGGCCAGGTCCAGAGCAACGCCATGGCAACGGGGAAGCAGGACGAGGCAACCTGACCCCTGGCAAGAGAGGAAGGGAGGGAGCCCAGGCAGAAGGGATCTGGAGGAGGAGGAGGAAGAGAGGCCTCCAAGGGACGTCCCTAGGACTGACCACTCCAGGCCACACACAGGGTAAAGGTAAAGCTTTCCCCCTGACATTGTCCAGTCGTGTCCAACTCTGGGAGTCTGGCGCTCACCTTCATTTTTAAGCCGAAGAGCCGGCGTTGTCCATAGACACCTCCAAGGTCATGTGGCCACTGGCATGACTGCATGGAGTGCAGTTACCTTCCTGCTGGAGTGGTAACTATTAGACTTGGTTGATCCAGTTCATTAATTTCTTAATTCG